AATCGGTCGGCGCCATGCCCTCCCCCGGGTATCATGTCCCTCAGTGGCCGTAGCCCCCGCTGGCCTGGCCCCCGTAGCCGGAGGCGCCGCCCTTGGCCTTGGCCAGAGCCTTGGAGGCCGCCGCCTGCGCCTGGGCTGCTGCTGCCTGCGCTGACTGCAGCTCACTCAGGGCCAGCGACTGCTGCTGGTTCAGGGAGTTGGCCGCCTGCTGAGCCTGCCACGCCATGGCAGCCTGTGCCGACTGCACCGCCTGGGCTGCCTGCAGAGCCTGCAGCGCCTGCGCGGCCACAGCCTGAGCCTCGGCCTGGGCGTGTCCCAGGGCATTGGCCAAGGCCACGGCTGTGTTGTAGGTGTTCTCGGCAGACTGAACGGCGCTGCTCGCCTGGCTGGACAGCGAAGACTCGGCGAAGGCCGCAGCCTGCGCTCCCTGCGCGGCCTGCGTGATCTGCGCAGCCTGAGCCTGTCCTTGAGCAGCAGCGGCTGAGGCAGACTGTGCCGCTGCGGAGGCTGTGGCCGCAGCCTGAGACGCAGCTTGAGACGCAGCGGCCTGAGAAACGCCCTTCAGACCTGCGGCTGCGGCGGTGGCCTGAGCGGCAGCCTGATTGGCGATGCTTGACGAGCTTGGTCCGTGATGGCCGCCCCCCGCCGCCGCCCACGATCAGGTAGCCGCCCCCGCTGCCGCCGTAGCCACCTGCGCTGCTGCTGACGCCGTGGGTGCCGCCGCCGACGCTGCCGCCGTAGCCTCCTCCGCTGACGAAACCTCGCTTGGTCTGGCCATTTGAAGGAAAAGCTTATAATACCAATAAGATAATTACATTCAAGCAAAGATGACTTCTATGTACAATCTTATGCAAGAATCCAAACGGAAGCTGAATACATACCCGATCCACCTCAGCGCCGGAAAGGGCCACACCTGGAAAGAGGCAAAGAATCATGTACCTTAAGCTCAGAGTCCGCAAAGGAGGAAATCAAATCCAAAAGCCATCAGACACAAATCGCCACAGCCCCCCCTCCTCCTCCCCCGCCCAAGACCCACCCAGGAAGAGGCACAACACCGCCTTGTTCATCATGGCTGCTCACTCGACGTCGACTGTGGGGCTCCATCTCTCGACGCCCCTTTTATACCTTCTACTAAGGGGTGTTCTCTGTCAAAAACTTTTTCTCTTTCTTTTTTCTTTTTTAACCTTTTTAGGAAGATATTCACAATACCTGTTGAGTGTGAAGGATCCTTTATCTCGTCTCTCTCCATCTCTCTCTCCTTCACTCTCACTCTTTCTCTTTCCCTCTCTCTCTGTCTCTATCTCTCTCTCTCTCTCTGACTTACCCGATTTCACTCTCCATTGTTATCCCTCATTCAAATCTTAGTAACGTCACAAAATAGGTATATAGATTATGGCACTAGATGGATGTGTATATATAGATTAATACCATAATAAACAAAAGAATATATTTATACATAATCATTAAGCAAATCAGTTAAACCAATTAAGAGAGAGAAAACAGAAAGAGAATGTAGCTTATTTCAAAAGATTACAATGTTTATCTGTACTATATAATCAAAATCATGTAACTATCATTCGTTTGTTATAAATTACAATCAGCTTTTCTACACATACGCACATACACATACTTATGTTCTAACATTTGTGACTGTATAAAACTATTATTCAATCGGTAGAACAATAAAAGATATGACCATCTTAGAATAAGTAACAAGGTACACATAAGAATGAAACATGAATGAAATGAAATTTCACGCCTTTTCTAAATGGTTAACAGCTCCTCAGATTAGACTAAATAAGGCTAGTCGGTTTTACTTTAGTGTGGAAGAAAGTGTGTGGGGGGGGGAGGGGGTAGAAGAAAAGGAGAGAAGGAAAAAGAAAGAGAAAATGAGAGTGAGAGTGTGTGAGAGAGAAATATCTTTTATATGTCTTTATATATACAACATTGAAAATGTATGATTCATATTATTAACATCGTCATTATTGTTAACATAGACATCATTTTCATATTCTTTATAATGATGATCATTATATCTATGATTAGTGTGATTCTGTACCATCATTTCATTATCCTTATGATCACTGTCACTATATTCATAATCTTAGTACTATTTTTGCTATTATTGTGATTTTTATCTGTACTATTGTCGCTATTATCATTTCTTCATTATTGCTGTTACCGTTGTTGATATTGTTATAAGCATTACCATTACTTTTGTTAAATTTATCATTAATATTACTATTAACATAATTTATTATTGTCTCACAATCACAATTATCATTATTATTACATATCGTTGTTGCTTGAATTATGTGTTTTATTCTCATGATTAATGATAGCGTTATTATTATCATGATTATTTCCATCCTCTTTATCCTTGATATTATCAGTGTTATCATTATCACCATTATTGCTTTTATTGTTAAATAGTTATTACCATAGATAACTTTATTATTATTATCACTATCATTACTATTTTTTCTATCATTGTTACCAATATCATTATTATTATGATCGTTATTATGATTTCATTATTATAGCAGTAGTTATCATTATTTTCTTTGTCATTTAAATCATCGTTATGCCTTTATCATAATTTCATCATTATCATTATCCTCATTATTATTACTCATAATATTATTGTTATATTTGTTATTATTTTCATTACCATTATCATTTTCATTATGATCAACATCAATAACAATATTACTATTAAGGTGACAGTAAATATCATTATGATTATTTCTACAATCATAATTCAGATTCTCGTTAGGAATACCATTATATTATCAACAGTTTCTTCATCATCATTACTATTAACAATTAACCCCATTTATCAACATACTCATCTAGAGTTGAGAATAAAAGAAGTATTATATTGTGGACGAAGTTGTTTATATATATATATATATATATATATATATGTGTGTGTGTGTGTGTGTGTGTGTGTGTGTGTGTGTGTGTGTGTGTGTGTGTGTGTGTGTGTGTATATATATATATATATATATTATATATATATATATATATATATAATTCATTATGTATGGGTGTATCTTCACATATGTTCATACATATATGTATGCCTATGTATCTATACGTGCTTATATATACACAAACACAAACATATGCAGATAGATAATGTGTATACAAATTAGATTGGAGAAAGTTGTTTAATTAGTCATCCATCTCATTAGATTTGCGAAATAAGCACATACACACACATACGGATATACACACACTTATGTTCTTACATTTATGACTGTATAAAACTATTATTCAATCAGTAGAACAATAAAAGAAATGACCATCTTAGAATAAGTAACAAGGTACGAATGAAACATGAATGAAATGAAATTTCACGCCTTTTCTAAATGGTTAACAGCCCCTCAGATTAGACTAAATAAGGCTAGTCGGTTTTACTTTAGTGTGGAAGTGGAGGGGGGGGGGTAGAAGAAAAGGAGAGAAGGAAAAAGAAAGAGAAAAGGAAAGATAAAAAGAGTAAGTGTGTGAGAGAAAGATCTTTTATGTCTTTATATATACAACACTGAAAATGTGTGATTTGATATTAACATCGTCATTATTGTTAACATATACATCATTTTCATATCCTTCATTATGATGATCATTAGCTCTATGATTAGTATGATTCTGTATCATCTCATATCATTGTGATCACTGTCACTATATTCATAATCGTATTACTGTTTTTGCTATTATTGTAATTTTTATCTGTATTATTGTCGCTATTATTATTTCTTCATTATTGCTGTGCTGACTGCACCGCCTGGGCTGCCTGCAGAGCCTGCAGCGCCTGCGCGGCCACAGCCTGAGCCTCGGCCTGGGCGTGTCTCAGGGCATTGGCCAAGGCCACGGCTGTGTTGTAGGTGTTCTCGGCAGACTGAACGGCGCTGCTCGCCTGGCTGGACAGCGAAGACTCGGCGAAGGCCGCAGCCTGCGCTCCCTGCGCGGCCTGCGTGATCTGCGCAGCCTGAGCCTGTCCCTGAGCAGCTGCGGCTGTGGCAGACTGTGCCGCTGCGGAGGCTGTGGCCGCAGCCTGAGACGCAGCTTGAGACGCAGCGGCCTGAGAAACGGCCTTCAGATCTGCGGCTGCGGCGGTGGCCTGAGCGGCAGCCTGATTGGCGATGCTTGACGAGCTTGGTCCGTGATGGCCGCCCCCGCCGCCGCCGCCCACGATCAGGTAGCCACCTCCCCTTTTTTCTTTTCTTTTTTTTTTTCGTCCCCCACCCCCTCTCCCCCTCTCTATCTCTATCTCTATCTCTCTTCCCCTCCTGCCTTCCTTTTCTGGTTTTCCTCCTCTTGTATCTATATTTCTGTGATTTCTATTTCTCTCTTATCCTGTTTTTGTTTTTGTTTTTCTTCGCATATACCATATTCCTCCTTTTCGTCCTCCATTCCTTCTTTTCTTCTGTTACTATTTTCCTTTCCCTTCAAATGTCCCCGCAACTCAACGACAGCATCTGAGAGGTAGAAGACTGAGGTTGAGGTGGATTCAGGAGCGAGGTCGTGGTATCGTAAGGTCATACTCATAGCCTATTACGAGTAATGACCTTATCGTCCATAGCATTATTCGATTAACAGTATGAATTAGTAAGTCACGGATGTGTTTCTGTGCATGTGTGTGTTCGTGCGTTTGTTTCAACACTGCGCTTCAGACAATCATCTTTTTAAAGGTTTTATGTGTTACATTTTACTAACGCCACTCATCATGATTGCTTTTCTACCTTGTTAAAACCTATTGGTAAACATGTTGCGAGCTTTTTTTTTATCCTTTCTGATGTTGATATTCCTGATATAAATCATGGCTATTCAAACGTTATGTTTGCATTACGTGACATTTCCAATTTGTGACTTCGTACTTTAAATAAGCATGTTACTAAAGCGAAATATACATGTGTATGTGTGATCGGTATTAGGTCCCTTTATAATGACAATCCAACCGAGAAAATAAGGGTTAACGTAATTTCCGCCTCACTTGG